TGGTGTCAGACACAGTGGGGGGCGTAGAGCAGGAAGTCACCAGCTGACCTGCGATCAGGCGCCCTTCACTGTAAGAGCATGTATCTTGTTTCCGGTCTGATGGTCTGTGTTTGATGGCGCCCTGGTCTTTGTCTTCTTTCAGTTTTTGGACTGCGACGGGCCTCCAAAACCTCTCCGTTGTTCTCGTCCCCTCCAGATTTTTAACATGCAAATATTCTTTAAGCCCATTTTTTAGAAACTCATTTTAAGGCTCAGATTTCTTTAGCTTCCATCATACGATGACAGGAAGATGATGTCTCCGCCCTCAACATGAACTCTCCCTGAGAAGAGTTGCAGTCGCCGCCTCCGTGCTTATGTTAGCCTGATCTTCAGATGGAAACTGTCGATTAAACTGCTGTGTTTGTGTTTCAGTGGAGGATCGACGAGAAGCCGGTGAAGATTGATAAATGGGATGGAGCAGCGGTGAAGAACTCCTTGGATGACGCTGCGAAGAAGGTTTAATTGATTATTTTTATCCACATGTTAACAGCAAATATTCAAACATGAGCCGCATGTGTTACTTGTTCTTATTGAAACGTTCCAGCAGTTTACGTCCATGTTTCGGAGACATGAATGACTCTGGTTTAGAGCAAGATGTTTTAAGTAAAAGTAAAACAGGAAAGGTTCACTCAGATGAGAGGAGGGTGGAGAACTGCAGCTGGGTGAAGGTGGGAGGAGGGAACTCCTACGTTTGAAGCGACCTGAGCAGTGTTTCTTCAAGGAGCTAATTTCATTGGTCGGATTTTAGCTGATGACGTCAGAGTCACACAGGGGGCGTGTCCAAATTCATGGGCTGCTTCCTCCTGAGGACGTATTTGTAGACCGATTACGTCACAGCGACGCGCCGAAGGCTGTTCAAATTCGTAGACTCCTCCGAATGCAGCCGACAAATGCGTCCTCATTTTCCCCGAATTTGAAGGATGGGTCGGGTGTGTCCTTCGTGGCCCACCATATCCCAGAATTCATAGCGCGGCCCAGCCAAACTCCAGTTTCCAACAATGGCGGCCGCTACTAAGTTTGAATATTACTCTTATTAATCTTTCTGGGTCACAAAATAAACTTTTAACATATTTTCAGAGAAAGCAGCTGTGAAAACTTCAAATATCTGCTCGGTTTATGAAGACGCCACATATTTGTAAAAGTGCTTCGACGTTTTCAGAGACGTCTGCTACCCACCAGCTCGACAGCGAGCCGGGAGCTCGAGGGTCACTGGAGCCGCCGAGAACGGCACAACTCCCGGCACATCATTTTCAGATCACCGCGGACTTTTGCTACTCAGGTTAAACGTGATATATGAGTCACTTAGACAACCTAAAGATGTTATTGTTTGGCTTCTTCAGCGTTTTATTTGTTCCTGAGTGAATCTGTGTGGCTGAGATTAAAGTTAGTTTTCACACAGCTGAATAAACGTCAAACAGAAAACTGATTAAACAGAAGTATGAGACGGTCGAGAGTTTACTCCAGTGTCCTGTTATATTTTAGACAGCAAGGAGCAGACGGCGAGTTCATTAAACTCCACCCAGACCGCGGTGACACAAAACTGAAGGCTCGACCGTCACATTTCACAGCCTCGCTCTTTGGTCTTCTCGGTCTTCGGAGGACGCAGTCTATGGACACAGCTACAGTCGAAACTTCGTCACTTGTTTAAGCTTTGAATGATGTTTGCAGCATAAAGCCAGCATGCGTGTGAGAGCTTCACTGTCGGCTGGGATTTTTCACTCATCGCGATGAGTCATGAACGCATGTGAAGGAAAGCTGCTGTTCACCTTGTTTGGCTAAACTTCATATCGATATGACCTATCTATGACCAGGTGCTGCTGGAGAAGTACGGTTACCTGGAGAACTTCCAGTTGGTCGACGGGCGCCTGCTGATCTGCACTGTGTCCTGTCTGTTTGCCATGCTGGCTCTGGTCTGGGACTATCTGCACCCCTTCCCCGAGTCCAGACCCGTCCTCGCCTGCTGCGTCATCTCATATCCTTCAGACGGAAACCTCTGCTTTTAAAAAATAAGATGATGAACTCACAGTGTGTCATATGTGAAACATGTGAGGGGAAAAATGTTGAAATAAGATTCAAAATTCAGAAACGACAGATGAAAGAGAAAAATGTTTTTACATATTAAAAACACCGAAAGTCTCATGAATGTCACTGAAACACAAAAACAAATGTTTGTAGAAATGATTCCGTCTAATATGATGATGATGATGATGATGATGAGCGTGTTGGCTTTCCCTAACTCCTCTTCCTCACGTACTTCATCATGATGGGCATCCTCACGCTGTACACCTCCTACAAAGAGAAGAACATCTTCCTGGTGGCCATGCAGAAGGATCCAGCTGGGATGGATCCAGACCACATCTGGCAGCTCTCCTCCTCCCTCAAACGGTCAGTGAGTATGGGAATCAAACCAGCAACCCCCAGCAGTCTGCACATTTCCTCATCTGCGAAGGACTCAGAGTGGATCAGTTTGCGTCTGTGTTTTCCAGGTTTGACGACCAGTACACGCTCCGGGTGTCCTTCTCCGACGGGAAGTCCAAGAAGTCGAGAGAGGCGGACTTCACCAAGTCGGTGTCGGCGTTCTTCGACGAACACGGGACGCTGGTGATGGACCAGTTTGAGAAGAGCGTTTCTAAACTGCACGACACGCTCGCCGCCGACAAGAAGACCAAATAAAAGACGGGAAGCAAACGTGGTGTGAGTCTGCCTCCTCTGTTCCTCCTCAGAGTTCACTGGTTTCAGCGCCGGCTCCATCAGGAGCTGCCAGAGGAAACTTATTCATGCATTCATATTAAAAATCTGAAATCTGCAGTCTGTCTGTTTTTACCACCACACTCTGAACAACCCCGGAGGTCAGCACGCTCAGCCGCAAACCGGCGGCCGCTCCTTTATTAGACAGACTCGGCAGCAGGCGGAGTCACAGGTCCGTGTTGCCCACTCATGCTCCGAGAGTGGGAATGATCAGAAACCAGTGAACTTCAGGAGGGACAGAGACCAGAGTCAGAGGCTCAGCTCCACTCTGAAGGGTTTATTTTCCTGTCACAGCTAACTGTCACTCAGAGGTCAAAGGTCAGGTGTTCTGTCAGCAGGTTAGGAACATTTCAGCTATTTAAAAACAACCTGAGACTCACTGCGTCTTCACCGGGTCTCCAAGTATTAAAGGTTTAAGGACCGCTGTGTGACATGGCTGTGGTGGGCGGAGCCTTACGTAAGGGTCACGGAGGTGGGGAATAAGCAGCTAATGATGGCCAACGGTTTAAAAATAAAATGTGATTTTTTCAGTGTTTAAAAAAGTAAAGTTTTTGTCATTTTTTTTCTCTGTGATGTGAGAATCAGTTTGAACTGTAGCAGCAGGTGAACTAACCGGCGCGTCGGCTCACTGGCCGACGTGTTGGTGCCGTACAACAGGAAGTGGACATTGATCAGACCTTTATTTTGAAAGTTTTTTATTCTCAGATGCTTTCTCTGTGTTAATAAAAACATTAAACTTGGATCTTGTTAGAGAAACATCTGGATGTGTGTCTCACTTTGAGTTCAGCTCTCAGCCCCCACAGGGTCACCTGCACAGGTGAACCTGGTCAGCAACCTCTGGGTGTGGCTTTGGTTTGTGTGGAGGTGTTTGTGGTGCAGCACCGCTGTCCGACCAGCAGGTGGAGAACTCAGGCTGACGTTCGCGTCCACAGGCAGCAGCCGGCGTGCAGCTCCAACACTGTTCACACGGTTTCTCTTAAAGAGTCAGTGATTGGACACGTGGAGGGTCTGAGCACTTCCTGTCTGTGCCTCTGAGCACCGTCAGGCGCTGATGAGGTTCAGTTTTCCAGCAGCGACGTCTGAACTGACAGCAAAACGATGCTGATTTCAATTTAAAGAAGGTCCTGAGTTTGATTCGCCCGCCTGGCCGGTCCATTCACAAGTATGAATGGTTGTCTGTCTCTCTGTGTTAGCGACCTGTCCAGGGTGTGCCCCGCCTCCTGCACTGTGGTAGCTGGGATAGGCTCCACCCCACCATGACCCTGTCAAGGATAAGAGGATGGATGGATGCAGTTACATTTAAACCTGACTCAGTCTGCAGCACAGAGATCGAAACTAAAGTCGCTCTTTGAACTGTAAAACATTTCAGAGCTCACGACGTGAAACAATGAAATCAAAGCTTTTAAAGATTTCCTGATAAAAACATGTCAAACTCCAATCCTCATATTTGGCTTCAGTCTGCAGAAACCAAACTGAACAAAGTTACGTCAAATAAAATCCTATGCAACATTCGTGCTGATGATGTAGAGACCGTCTGATACTCACACGTCTTCAAATGGCCTCTGAGACTCCACCCCAAAACCAAGATGGTGGCAGCTAAAATGCTCAGGGTCCAAGAGGCTGAAGCTGCTCAAACACAAAATTTATGTGAAACACAGGAGTTTTTAACCATAATGAGGTCAAACTGGTTCAAATGTAAACTGCTGGAGTCAGCCCGGCACACGGCTGCTGGGTTAGCATTAAGCTAAATAACACAGAAACAACAACAATCAGACAACCACGTGTAAGCACTTTGGCGACAGGAAGAAGCCCCCAGCAGACTCAGAGGGAGCTCTGCGGTGAGTGTTTGGGATCATCGGTCTAAAGACCTTCATCATAAATGAGCGTGTTTAAATTTGGTCTGTTTTCCCGTTAATCTGACATTATCCAGGTGGCAGTGTCCATCTGTTATTTACAGGCTGTGGGTAGAGCACCTGTGGAAATTTGTTTGTTTGTTTGTTTTTAGGTGACAAACACAAATAATAAAAAAAACGCTGGCAGATTATTGTACATGTTTTTAAATTGTTCTCTTTAAGGCAGCACCACTGATGTTATTCACTGCTCACAGAGAGGGGTGTGGCCACCAGACAGGGGTGGGGTTAGTGGTGAGGGGGCAGGGCCATGAGTGCAGGCTGCTGCCTGTCAGTGAGGTACTGATCAGATGTGTGTGTGTGTCAGAGTGCTGCTGTCTCTCGGCCATGGCCTGTCTGATGGCTGCCTGGTCCGTCCACAACCCCACTGTCACCAACTCCATCATCATGGTGAGTATGAGGACTCCAGAGGTATGATGAGGGGTGACCCTCTGTGTCTCCTGCTGGTTTAAGGAAAGGAAACAGCTTTCTAAGCAACGAGATCTGTGTGGGAATCAGCCTGAATGTGACGGTCAGCTGTGTGAGGCTCAGCAAATCTCACATGTTTGGGTTTTAAAGAAGTTAACAGTCCTGCAGCTCCACTGCACCAAGGTCAGCTCCTCAGGGAGGAAGAGGAGAGTCCTGATGATATGAGCAGAGCTCTTCTCATGATGATAATATGATTTTAACTTGAATGATACTGCGGGGTTATCCTCATCGTTTCTGTGTTCACGCACTGAAGGGGCAGTTCTGTAGTGCCGGGGTGTTAGTGCCTCTGTTGGGATTGTTTCTCTAAGACAGTTACTGCCAAGACTGGAAACCTACTGCATGAAATGTTGGGCTATAGTGAAAATGGAGTCAGGGTGGACACACGGGGTGATTAGAGGATTTTTTAAATGAGGGGAAAATATATGTACTAAGCTTTGAACATTGCTAAATAATGCTCAGACCTCCGGCTTAAATCGTAAATCTGCAGGGACAAAGACTGTATATAATAGATGGCAGTAAGCACACTGAAATCACTCATTCGTTTCAGGATTCACATTTTAGCGTTTAACCACCACAGCGTTGTTTTTTACCCAGACGTAAACGAGAGGGTGGCGTGCTAATGCTAGCCAGCTTGGTGAGACTGTATGGAGCATCACGCAGATACAGATGATGCTAATTCAGTAACATCAGCCTTCGTCGACTGTCTGTGAGTACAGTACCCTCACAGCAGCGATATTATTGGTCAGATAGTATCATTAAAAATGCTCCAAAAGGTTCAAGTGAAACTCGCAGCTACAGCCGCCTGTGTCACCATCCACCTGTCAGTCAAAAGGCCACGCCTCTGACAATGCAAACTTTAAGACTTCCTACAATTTAAACACCCTCGCAGCGTACCGTTGTTATGATGGCTGAGATTATCCACAGAGACCAAACATCATGACTCACTGCTGCCTCTGCTGGAGGAGGTGCAGTTATAATCGAGACCTCCTTGTGGCCCCTCCTAATGTCTGCCCGGGCTGTGGTGATGTCACAGCACTGTTTCGGGGTGTGACAATCAAATTCCACGCAGGGGCGGGGCTCCAGTAGCCACGCCCACGACTGGAAGTTTTGAAAGTTTAGTAGCTCTCACAGAGCGGACTCGTGCTGGGAGGATAGAAGCCTTTCTCCTTTCTTAACACGTGTAAGTACATTTACTTAATACTTGAGTATAAATGTGTGGTACTTGTTCCTCCATTGAGTCTTTTACTAAGACTTTTACACAAACCATGGAGAACTTGTAAAATTCGGATGATGTTAAAATCGTACAGTTTATGGGCTGAAACGATGAGTCACAACAAAGGTTTCTCACTACTTTAAGAACTTTTACAAACCAAATGGAGGAACACATTCATCTGTTGCTGCAGGTGTCTCGATGCTCCAGCAGTACAATTGTCCGGAGGAATAAAATACAGTAATTTAAGTACAGTTTTCAGATTATACTTATGTTGCAGTCAATTTATGAGGTGATCCACAGGTACAGTACTTGTACTTCCTTTACTGCTGCACACACAAAGTTTCCTCGTAAACATCCTGAAATCTTCTGATTTCCTGAAAAGCTCTTTGTTTAGTCACATGTTTATATGTTTCTGAGCTCAGGATTATCTCTGCTCCTGTCTGTGTGGTCACAAATTATTAGTTATGTGTATGTATTCCTATTCTGCTCGAGTTTTACAAAAAGCATCACTTCCACATAGAAAAATATTCTCAACATGAGTCAGTGATGTAAAGCTGTTCATGCTGCAGTGATGAGTAATGACAGGAAAGTTATTTGGTAGTTTTTTTAAGCAGACAAATGGAGACGTCTGAAAAATGTTAGATGAGCCAAAAAAACAAAGATGGAAAAACTCCCAGGCAAGAAATCATTTTTGTTTTTAAATTGTTTTCTCAAATTTTGGCTGACAGGTGACATCAAACACCTGTGACCAATAATATGTCTGCTGTGAGGTTGCCGTAGTAACAAACTGAGCTCCAGGGTTAATGAGGGAAACTGTGGGATTTTGTTATTGATTAGCAGGTATCTGTGTCTGTAGACTGATAACTAGCTCTTAACTTAGTGCTCCTTCCTCTCATCCAAATATGGTCACTTCCTGAAAACAAGAACCAACATGGCGCAAGAGACATCTCAGGCACTGATGCTTCATCACGCGGAGTGGAGAAACCTCTGATACTGACCTTTATATTCAGTTTGTGAAGACCCGCAGATAATCCTCAATTGTAATTTAGATCTCAGTACTGAGAGTGAAGAAATCAATGATAAGGGTTACCATGGTGACCATGGCAATAGTTTTGCTGAATCACAGCAGCCGGGTGCTCAGTTTAAATCCTGCACTCAGCCTGTTCTTTAGCTCGGTGACTAAGCTCTGCCCGACAGTTACCTCCTGCTCGAAGGCAGATTAGTGCCTCGTTTGGGTCAGGTCAGTCACACATGGCCGTCCTACAGGAACAACACCGGACTAGCTGACGGCTAATAGTATTTAGTATTTAGTATTTATTTATTTATTGTCATTGTCAAGAACAATGAAATTGCGTTTGGGGCTTCCATACAACCCAAAAAAAGAAGAAAATAATAAATACCCCTTAAAACCCAAGTGTACATATTTAACCCAGTGTGACTCCAATGCAATAAGACAATCCTTAGCAATAATGTTCGTAGAAATTCAGACAAAGACCTGAGAAACATGACAAAATACAACAATGCAACCCATTCAATATTATTGTACTGTGAGATATGATATCAGATATGATAGTTATCTATTTAAGAAAGAGGGGGGGGGGGGGGCAGGAGGGGGAAGAGAATAAAGATATGATGCACCAATGCAGACCAGTTCATTGCTATTAAGAAGTTGGATATGGTTATTGTCCGTGAGAGGGGGGCAGAGAGTTCAGGAGCCTCACAGCCTGTGGATACAGGCTGTTGGCCAGTCTGGATGTTCTGGCCTGTATAGACCTGTACCTAATCTGACTACATCCACGTCTGCGTCCAGGCCTGCTGGAAAACATGTAGAGAATCAACAAACCCAGACAACAAACATTCGGCTCTGCAGGATGAGAGCTGACAATCACAACCAGCAGGCTCCTCAGTCAGCTTTTTAAGGAGGGATAGAGGTTCGAAACTCTATTATCGGCGCGCTCTCACTGTACTGCACAAGGAGTTAGAAAAACAGGTTTTCATTTATTTAACCCAAAAAGTTATATTTACAAAACAAAAATGTTGAGCTCATAAAAAAAACTAAACTCAGCCAAAGAAATGTGAAACGACTGCCCAAACAAACATAACTGACCCAAACAGGAAATGACACACAAAGGTATATATAATGGGCAGCACGGTGGTTAGCACTGTTGCCGCACAGCAAGAAGGTCCTGAGTTCAATTCCACCATCAGGCCGGGGTCTTTCTGTGTGGAGTTTGCATGTTCTCCCCGTGTTTGCGTGGGTTCCCTCCGGGTACTCCGGCTTCCTCCCACCGTCCAAAGACATGCAGCTTGTGGGGATAGGTTAATTGGATAATCCAAATTGCCACTAGGTGTGAATGTGAGTATGAATGGTTGTCTGTCCCTGTGTGTTGGCCCTGCGACAGACTGGCGACCTGTCCAGGGTGTACCCCGCCTCTCGCCCCATAACAGCTGGGATAGGCTCCAGCGCCCCCCGCGACCCTGAAAAGGATAAGCGGAAGTGGCTGGATGGTATATATAATGGCTGATCAGACCACTATGACAAAACAGCGACAACTAAACACAATCACATACCACAAAAACGATGCAGTTCAGTTTGTTAATAAACTAAACAGCAAAGAAGGAAATCAAAAACATTAAACTCAGATATCTAGTTAACTACAAGAACATGTTTAACCTCCTAAGACCCGAACTCTTCCACGGCAGCATTTTTAATTTCTCTTTGATATCTGGGCTGATTGGGACCTAATGAATGTAAAAATTACCAGATTTTTTTTACCTGATTTTTATCCATCCATTAGCTTCCGCTTATCCTTTTCAGGGTCGCCGGGGGCGCTGGAGCCTATCCCAGCTGTCTTATTTTTCTAAGAAAAATGAGAGCCACATATGAGGATATTCATTTAAAATTTTGATTGAACAGTATCAGTATAATGCCCTCATAAGTGGATATCAGGCCCTTGTAGAGCAAAATTGAGTATTTTAGTCTAACCCAAAATGCGATGTCCACATATGTGGACGCCAGGTCCTAGGAGGTTAACTAAAGAAAATACACATTCTGCCCCCTTCAACAGGAAGTGGTGGTGTGGTCCAGTCAGCCCATCTATGTATTTAAGTTTTTTAAACACTGGCCAATATCTTTTGTCTGGCAACAAAAGATGCCAGGGATGATGGCAGGTAAGAAACCAGTAAAAGAGACAAAGATTAGTCACAATCAAACCAAAAATCAGAAATGAATTGGTATTAATATATAAGTAAACTAAATGTACGCGCTTGCGAATAGAACAAATGTGTTCAAACCAGTCAATAAACTTATTGCAAACCAAAGTGTGTGTGAATGTGTTTAGATGAAGGAATGAATTAAAATATGTAAGAGTTGCCCACTTTTAGTGCGGCCGTGGTTTTGGCCATCACAAGAGGCTAAGCCTACGCTTGAAGCTACCGAGGTGTTCGTTGGCAGAGGTGACGCAATGCCACTATTATGAATGAAACTTGGTTCAATAACTCCAGCCATACTTATCTTGCCTGTTTAACACATTTATTGCTTTCCATCAGTTGCATTTGTTGTTCAGCAGACTCTTATCAGCGGCCACAAACCGTTTGCTCCTTCTGACCAACAACACCTGACTCTAATTACATGTGTCTACCATAAAAACATGCCATACTGTTAAAACACAAAAAGTGACCACATAAGGTCACAACAACAAACAATGGCTCCTAGAGCACTTTTTTGACCACCGACCCCTCAAAGGCTCATTGATCTCACCGCTGCACCTACAATCAGGTTACAGTCGCGAGCTAACCATTCATGCAGGAAACCCGCCTGCCCTGATGAGTGAATTCATTCAGCTTCTCTTCACACCAACACACGCTTCAATGGTTTAAACTGTAAACGCTATACACAGTCATATTTTTTTCATTCACCTTTGTGGCTCTCCAGCTGTCAGTGGTCTTCTCTGTCCTGTGCTGTTATCAGTTGCTTTACCATGAGTCTGAAAAAACAAAGATTCAGCGGAGTGAACATTGTTTAGTTCTAGTGTGACTGAGGCTGAGATTAGAGCAAGGACTACAGAAATATGTGAGTGCATCATCCAGGCGAGAGTCTGTGATACTGTGTGTACAGGACCAGCTTTACCAAAATCTGTAAGCTTTTACCAAGTCTCTGTGGTACAGCTTAGGTTCAGCTTTTATTTTAGCAAAACACTGAAAAAAACATGTACACGGATAATGGATGGATGATGGATGACATGGATGGATGATGATGTGGGTGGATGGATGGATGATGGATGACGTGGATGGATGATGGATGATGGATGGATGATGATGGATGATGGATTGATGGATGGATGATGGATGACGTGGATGGATGATGGATGATGGATGGATGATGATGTGGGTGGATGGATGGATGATGGATGACGTGGATGGATGATGGATGATGGATGACGTGGATGGATGATGGATGATGGATGATGGATGGATGATGATGTCTTAAAAAAAAAGCAATTCGAATCATCCACAATGCAGGTTATAGGGAACATACAAACTCACTATTTTTGCAGTCTGAAATATTGAAAATTGACGATATAGTGAAATTCCAAACAGCACAAATTCTATTCAAAGCAAAAAATAAAGAACTGCCAGGTAATATTCAGAGTATGTTTTTTTTGAAAGAAGGAAGTTATAATTTAAGGGGTTTTTGTAACTTCAAAACAATGAAGGCACGTACTACAAGAAAAGGCTTTTGTGTTTCTGTTCATGGAGTGAAACTATGGAACAAACTGAATATGGAATTAAAGCAATGTCCAAACATAAAACTGTTCAAAAAGAGTTATAAAAATATGATCTTCTCGATCTATAAAGAAAAGGAAAATATTTAAATTAAGTGAATGTCTCCATTTAAAAACAAACAAACAAACAAACAAAAAACTCATGATGTGATATTATAGTATATAGTATATCAGAAATCTGTTCACTATTTTTATTACAAATTATATCAGTAAGGAAGCAACTAAATATTAACTGATAATTTATGGGACAGGGGTGGGATTAAATAAGTGTATACTTCTTCCCACTCCCTTTCAACATGTAAATTAATCAGAATGGTTTTTTGTATGTAATTTGTATAGTATTTTTTTTCTCTCTTATTTCTTTTCTAAATGTACTTGTATATTGTTCACATGTTGAAATAAATTACCAATCAATCAATCAATGATGTGGGTGGATGATAATGTTTGGATGGATGATGAAGGATGGATGGATGATGATTTTGGGTGGATGATGATGGTTAGATGGATGATGAAGGATGGATGGATGATGATTTTGGGTGGATGATGATGGTTGGATGGATGATGAAGGATGGATGGATGGATGGATGGATGGATGGATGATGATTTTGGGTGGATGATGATGGTTGGATGGATGATGAAGGATGGATGATGGATGGATGGATGATGATTTTGGGTGGATGATGATGGTGGGATGGATGATGAAGGATGGATGATGGATGGATGGATGATGATTTTGGGTGGATGATGATGGTGGGATGGATGATGAAGGATGGATGATGGATGGATGGATGGATGATGATTTTGGGTGGATGATGATGGTGGGATGGATGATGAAGGATGGATGGATGGATGATGATGTGGGAGGATGATTATGGTTGGATGATGATGTGGGTGGATGATGGATGGATGGATGATGATGTGGATGGATGGATGATGATGATGATGGATGGATGATGGATGGATGATGATGTGGGTGGATGATGGATGGATGGATGGATGATGATGTGGATGGATGGATGATGATGATGATGATGATCTGGACAGATGATGGATGGATGATGATATCGGTGGATGGATGATGGATGATGTGGATGGATGATGATGTGGACGGATGACGGTGGATGATGATGGTTGGATGGATGATGGTGGATGGATGGATGGTGGATGGATGGTGGATGGATGGATGATGATGTGGATGATGATGATTATGATGATGATGGATGGATGATGATGGATGGATGGATGGATGATGGATGGATGATGATGTGGGTGGATGAAAGATGATGTGGACGGATGATGATGGATGGATGGATGGATGGATGATAATGTGGACGGATGACGGTGGATGATGATGGTTGGATGGATGGATGGATGGATGGATGGATTGATGGATGGATGGATGGATGGATGGTGGATGGATGGATTGATTGATGGATGGTGGATGGATGGATGGATGGATTGATGGATGGATGGTGGATGGATGGATTGATGGATGGATGGATGGATGGATGGATTGATGGATGGATGGTGGATGGATGGATGGATGGATGGATTGATGGATGGATGGTGGATGGATGGATGGATGGATGGTGGATGGATGGTGGATGGATGGATGGATGGATGGATGGATGGATGGATGGATGGTGGATTGATGGTGGATGGATGGATTGATGGATGGATGATGAAGGATGGATGATGGATGGATGGATTGATGGATGGATGATGAAGGATGGATGGTGGATGGATGGATTGATGGATGGATGGTGGATGGATGGTGGATGGATGGATTGATGGATGGATGATGAAGGATGGATGATGGATGGATGGATTGATGGATGGATGATGAAGGATGGATGGTGGATGGATGGATTGATGGATGGATTGATGGATGGATGGTGGATGGATGGATGGATGGATGGATTGATGGATGGATTGATGGATGGATGGTGGATGGATGGATTGATGGATGGATGATGAAGGATGGATGGTGGATGGATGGATTGATGGATGGATGGTGGATGGATGGATTGATGGACCTTTTTGCTTACATTCTCAGATGGTCAGCTATGGTTGTCTTAAGCCGGATTCCTTTTATTCACCTTCAGAATACCAACGGGCCCCCTGACCTTATGTTGGATCCCCGGACAGTTTGTCTTTGTATGGATGAGGTGGTCAACAAGCGGCTGGCTGGCAGCCAGCAGACGCCACTGCTGCAGGGACACCTGAAGAAGGTGGACAACAACCTGATGGAGGCCCAGAGGTTCTCCTCATTACCTCGCAGACCCGCGGTCAACATTGAGTTCAAAGACGTCTCCTTCGTGGTCAGAGAGGGACCCTGGTGGAGGAAGAAAGGTAGAGTCATACACAAAACAAAGATGGCAGAGGTTCAGAAAATAAACACACTGTCACTGTAAATTCAATGCCAGCTAATGCCTGAAGGGTGGAAAATAATCCAGAGCACGATTCAGCCTTGTGTTGTAGCTGGTTTATTCATTACAGATCCTGAGTCACGCTCCTATAACAGCAAAAAGTATCAGGACAGCAGGAGGAGCTGGTCTGAATGCTTCTATTTTAAAAGGCTTCCACAGAGATGTGGATCAGGCCAACCTAAGACTGACTAAAGACAGTCACAGTGACCATTGACCTTTGAACACCAACATCAGAGCCGCCCTGAACCTCACAGAGATGCTGAGTCTGCAGAACGCAAGAGAAGATCTGACATAAACGCTTCTGACCGACTCATAAACCCACAAATTTAATCTCAGACGGCTTCACATTTTATAGCCCTGAACAGAAAAAGTATATTCACATATATATGTGTGTGTGTGTGCATAGATCTATCCATCTAGGGGCTTTATTTGTCCAGTTGGAGAGGTCAAAGGTGATGGCCGACCTCACAGGGTTCATGTCATTCTTTTGACTTTTTATTGTTAATGATGGGCTGTGCGTCAGCAGGCAGCCGTTGGGTGCTCTCGGTTTGGCTGCTGTGTGTTTGTGCGCTCGCTGGATTAGCGGCTGTAATCTGTTAATCTCAGCTGGGTCTTCTGCTGTAAATAGCTGCAGGTCAGATTGGAGGACGCGCCGTCGCTCGCTGCCTGAAAATAAAGACGCAAGAACAAGAAAACAAGCGATGATGTCACCGCTCGTGAACCCGCCCACATCTGAGCTCTGCTCAGGCTTGAGAATGGGTCGGATTGTTATTTTAGGGAATCCCTTCCCATGATGCACAGGGTGTTTCTTCTTCACTCACTATGTGTTAATATTCAATTTTCAATTCAATTCTATTCTATTTACACAGCTCCAAATCACAACAACCGTTGCCTAAATCCACTTTAACTTTAAATCCTACTGTAAGGTCGACCCTACAATAACACATACAGAGAAAAACCCAACAATCATATGACCAATGTGAGCAAGCACTTTGGCGACAGTGGGAAGGAAAAACTCCCTTTTAACAGGAAGAAACCTCCGACAGAACCAGGCTCAGGGAGGGGCGGGGCCATATGCTGTGATTGGTTGGGGCGAGAGAAGGAAGACAGGATGCCAGAGGTTTCTTCCTGTTAAAAGGGAGTTTTTCCTTCCCACTGTCACATAGTACTTGCTCATAGAGGGTCATTTGATTGTTGGGGTTTTCTGTTTTCCTTCTATCATTGTACGGTCTTTACCTCATCTTACCTCTGATTGGTCCTGAGCAAGAAAATGAACATAGTGCTTGTGTAAAGCTGTGCCGGGAACCTCTAGCTGAAACTAGATCTGTTAGAGACTCTGATAGCCTCAGGTTACAGACCATTATTATGGAGCTCAGCCAAACTCTTTGTTCATATTAGAAAAGATGAGTTTCACTGAGAACATTTCACACCTGCTCAGGTGCACAAAAACAGCGTGCAGGTGTGAGTTTGAAAACATTTACAGGTTTTCTATTGTAATTTTCACACAAAACCTTTGATTGGTTCTTTGATGCTTTTCAGGCCAACAGAATCTGCTAACATGCGATCACATGTTATTAAAAGGCCAGAAAGATAGATCCATGAAGCAGAGTAGCAGATGAAGACGTGAGGGTTGATGTAATGGGGCATGTACGAGGCGCTAACAGGCTAGAATAGTTGTAATAGCTGTCTTTCTGCTCTCGGTCGTGGCCCCCGAGTACCACCCTTTCTCCATCATGGACTTCAGGGAGAAGTCCATGTGTTCTCTGGTTTGAAGGATGTTCAGCTTCAGGTTATTTTCTGAGCACCAGCAGGACAAGTTCTCTACCTCCACCCTGTACGCCGTCTCATCTCCATCAGAGATGAGCCCAACCACAGCAGTGTCATCAGCATACATGACGATGATGTTGGCTGGTGGGTTGGTGTACAGTCATGGGTGTACAGTGTGCGGAGGGTACTGTTGGTCAGATTAAATCTAATAATCTCATTAAAGCGCGTTTAGCCTCTGTGTGTAACGTGTAACACACTCCTCAGTTTTAATAACGACAACCTCAGAAACCTGGTCTCTGAGACAGGATTTCAGGTGTCAGCACATTCTTCATGGTTTCTCAGCCCAGCACACACGTTCTTACATGTGTGCTTCACTGTGTTTCAGTCATGAGTGACTGTTTGCTTTGAGACTGTGAAACTTGTGGATAAGTCTGATGCTGAGCTCACTGTGAGGACAAAACACTAACAGCAGATTACTGAAGATGTTTTCATGATTGCTGCAGGGGTTTTGGACTCACGCTGATGTAAATGTTCTGGTTGGTCACACTATGATCAGGGTAGCTGCTCGGAGTAAGTGAGGGACAGCTGAAGGGTTGGGAGGGTCTCTGATGGACCTGTAGATGTCTGAAGCACATCTGCAGGTCCAGGAGAAACGTGGTCTGTTTCGGGACGATGCACGAGCCTCACCGAGTTCTGTAACTGACCTGAGTCCAGACCGTCAGCACTGAAACATCAGCAGTGAGCCTTTAGGATGAGCGGGAGTGTTTGTTTTTCGCACAGAAGCCGAGCGGAGCGGCTAAAGTGTGAGAGCAGCTGCTGGTCTGCATGAATGAGAGAAAAACTCCAAACTGATGGGAAACCTGAGCCGAGAGTTCGAGCACAAAGAGCGGCTCTGTGAGCGGCTGGGAAACCTGCACATTGATTGTTTCTGTTCGCCTCAGGTTACAAAACTCTGCTCAAAGCCATCTCTGGGAAATTCACCAGTGGGGACCTGGTGGCTATCATGGGGCCCTCAGGAGCCGGAAAGTCCACGCTCATGAATATCCTGGCCGGGTACAGGTGGGTGCATCCATCAGGGCGGAGATGATGACTGAGTGTGAGGTTGAGGTCATAGCGCTCTCAGCTGCAGATGTTTTAAAAATGTTTTCAGATTATGTTACATCTCAGTCTGAGAGCTTTACCGCATCCTCACATCGGCCTGCTGTACCTCTGTGTGTGTCAGTAAATGCTAGTGAAGAATCTGATTACTGATTGCAGGTCAGTGGATCTGTCCAGAGCGCGCTCAGTGCACGTCTGTCTTTGCGTACAGGGAGACGGGGATGAAGGGCGAGATCTTGATCAACGGGCAGCCCAGAGACCTGCGCTCTTTCCGGAAGGTTTCCTGTTACATCATGCAGGACGACATGCTGCTGCCTCACCTCAGTGTCCAGGAGGCCATGATGGTAGGTGCTGCTGAGCCTCAGCGTTCAGCCTACTGCAGACCGCAGTAATCGCAGACCCTGCTCTCTGTTTCTGCAGGTGTCGGCCAGCCTGAAGCTGCAGGAGAAGGAGGAGGCGCGCAGAGACATGGTGAGCCGATCGCTCCTTGCCTCCCTGATCTCAGACTCTACCCTCAGGCTGAACTCGGATCTCTGCTCCTTCAGGTCCGGGACATCCTGATGGCTCTGGGTCTGCTGGAATGTGCTCAAACCAGGACGTCTCACCTGTCGGGGGGCAGAGGAAGCGGCTGGCCATCGCTCTGGAGCTTGTCAACAATCCGCCGGTCATGTTCTTCGATGAACCCACGAGGTAAGAAATCAGGTTGACCTCCAGGTCCTCTCCGTGGTTCATCCCAAGCTGGCAGAAGGTCACAGAAGGTCGGATATCAGTCCTGACCACGGTGCTCTGTCCTCAGCCAATGAAAAGCAGCTGAACCATTCCACTCAGTCAGCTCAGTCTTCCTAACCAACTTTAAATCTTTGCACTAAAGCAATTTTTGAATCGCGCAGGCTGAACGCTTTTAGAGCCTTTCAGACTGTGCAGACTCATTTTAAACGTTATGCCTGACACATAGGATCATGCAGGGAGATCTGTGGTTCGACTCCTGGTCCCGCCACTCACCTGTGTGAAATGGTTTCGCTGCCTCAGAGATCAGTCGTGCCAAAGCACAGCTGTTTTATTTTTACTTGACTTATTTCAGACGTTTGATCAGAACAAGCTGTACTTCAAATTCTACATGTGAGTGATGTTTGGTCATGTTTCTGCTTCATGCTGAGCTTCTATGAAGGTGTGTGTGTGTGTGTGTGTGTGTGTGTGTGTGTGTGTGTCAGTGGCCTGGACAGCTCGTCATGTTTCCAAGTGGTGTCTCTGCTCAAAGCTCTGGCTCGAGGAGGACGGACGGTTATCTGCACCATCCACCAGCCGAGCGCAAAACTGTTCGAGCTCTTCGACAAGGTGACCCTCCTCCACGTTACACTGACTCACTGCACCATCTAGTGGTGTAAACCGGTATCACATGAACGTGTGGCTGGACAATGCACAGAAGTGTTAGCAGCGGTTCTTTTTCTGAAGATCTGAAACAGTTTGAAACATTTATAGAAGCAGCTCTAATGTCAGAAGCAATAAATAAATGATTACATTTCCTTCAGTGGGTTAGAGGGTCATCTGCTAATCAGAGTGTGAGGGGGGCAAAGAGCTTTTAAAGGGGATAAAATCAAGTTTGTGTAGAGGAGTAAATGTGGTGTAAAGAAGCTTCGAGTGAGCACTTGTAACAGTTTGTATGATGGGGTGAAATCCGTTTCCTCCTGCTCAGGTTTTAAGGATGAGAGAAGAACAGGAAGTGCTCTACAAAGGTGTTTGGAGCTGAAAACCTTGGTGTGGGTCCACAGAATGATAAGAAACATGATTCAGTGCGGGTTTCACTTGTGTCTGTCTCTCTGTGCGTGTTTCAGCTGTACGTGCTGAGTCAGGGTCAGTGTATCTACAGGGGACAGGTGTCCAGTCTGGTCCCGTACCTGAGAGACCTCGGGCTGAACTGCCCCACGTACCACAACCCCGCTGACTTCGGTAAGGCTCGCCCGGCGAGCTGTTCCCACTCGGCCGTCGCGGCGTCAGACTCACTGATGGGTTCTGTGCGCAGTGATGGAGGTGGCGTCCGGAGAGTACGGGGACCAGATGATCAGGCTGGTGATGGCAGCTCAGGAGAGGAAGTGTGAGAAAGACCACCAGCCCGAGCTCAACGGAGACAGCACCCTCCACCCCTTCCTGTGGCAGCGCACCGAGGAGGTAAAAAAACAGCACGCCCTCTGCTGTGATTGGTTGATGAGAGGGAGGTTTTCGCTTTACCTCCTTTGAATGTTTCATGACGAATGAGTCCTTTGAAAATCAACATGTACCTGTGATGATCTCCCGTCAGGAGAGCTCATCGTCTGAAGGCTGTCACAGCTTCTCTGCTAGCTGCATGACGCAGTTCTCCATCCTGTTCAGGAGGACCTTTCTCAGCATCCTCAGAGACTCGGTGACAAACACCTCCGTACACGTCACCTCAGATTCACACAGATGACACCATTTTCCATCACTCTGACATAACAATTATCATTACCATTTATACTGGTGTGATAAAGTGTTTGCCTCCTTCCCAATTTTCTATTTTTTGTATTTTTGTTATGTTTTAGATCAAACAAATTTAAATGTTAGACAAAGATAACACAAGTAAACACAAAATGCAGTTACTAAATGAAGGTGTTTATTTTTAGGGGAAAAATATCCAAACCAAGTGATGGCCCCCTAAACTTAAAAACTGGTTTGGGCCACCCTCAGCAGCAACAACTTCAGTTCAATTCAGTTTTATTTATACAGCTCCAAATCACAACAACAGTTGCCTAAATCCGCTTTATACTGTAAGGCAGACCCTACAATAATACATGCAGAGAAAACCCAACAATCATATGACCCCCTATGAGCAGCACTTTGGCGACAGTGGGAAGGAAAAACGCCCTTTTTCCAGACTGAGAGATCTCAACTACTTTGTTTCCTCATTTGTTCCTGAACATCATTGGATTACTCTCAAAGAGTGACCTTTGACCTTTAGATGCATGTGAACAACTGAGTGTTGTCCTGTCAAGGTGGCTGTTTGGTGTCTCCAGTGGGGCGATCGTGGCTCAAGAGTGGGTGTTCGTCTTGTAATCGGAAGGTCGTTGTGTCCTTGGGCAAGACACTTCACCTACCACCTACTGGTGTTGGCCAGAAGGGCCGATGGCGCGAAATGGCAGCCTCGCTTCTGTCAGTCTGCCCCAGCTGTGGCTACAACCGTAGCTGCCTCCATCCTGATACAGGGCGCTGGGCGTAAAAATCTGTGACTCTTCACCAGCTGCTCATAGAATTTAAGAAGCTTCTCAGATGAAATGTCTTCAAGAAACTTAAAGAAGTCCAGATGCTTTTCTTTCTAAGCTCCTTAGACGGGTTTACAAATAATTTCTTGCCAATTTTCTTCCTAATTTCCTAAAACTCTGGTCTGAGTCTGGTCATATATAATGACATCATTTTACTGATTACTTTTCAATCACAAAAACATTGTTTTCACTGTAACTTAAACACGTGGTGACGGTTTCCAGCACAGATTTGTGAAATAAAACATTGTCAGTGTGGTAATATTACTGTGCAGTATTGCAGTTTGAAGTAAGGCATTGTCATTGGCAGGTGCTGACTCACCTGAGGATCTCGTCTCACATTGGGATCGGCGTTCTTATTGGTCTGTTGTATCTGGGTATCGGGAACGAAGCCAAGAAGGTTCTGAGTAACTCGGGGTTCCTCTTCTTCTCCATGCTGTTCCTCATGTTCGCCGCTCTGATGCCCACGGTGCTCACCTGTGTCACTGCTGTGTCACTTTACCTGCACACAGGTGACGTTTGAGTAAGATCAGGGTGTCACCTGCGTAACAAATACATCACAGAGTCGAGCTGGAGAGCAGCTGTTCTCTGTCCTTCATCGGCTTGTGTAACACGAGGTCTGCTGTTACAAAGGTGGACAGAACAACAGACCTCCATTTATCCTACCTGCAATACAACCTGTTTTAGCCCCTCCCCCTTAAAGACAACTTTGTTCTGATTGGCTTCCTCTTGTAAACAGAGGTTCTGAAGTGTTAGCCTCTCTGACATCACAGAGGTTCAAGCATAGAGCTGAGTGTTCAGAGGTGAGCTCAGCAACAGGTGCGTCACTTTTACCTGAACAGCACCAAAGGTGCCGGCTCTGACTCAGGAACTCTCTGTCTCATACACAATAAAAGCTTTATTGATGTTCTCAGGGCCAAACCCATCCAGGCTGCAGTGGGAAAATCCTTAAACTGACACCCACAATTGCCAGGATTAATGACGGTAAAATTGTGTCTTTAAATTTGAGCTTTTCTGGGATTTTATGAGCGAGCAGTCGCTCTGGGAGCTGCTGTCAGAGAACATCAGACTAAGTCTCTGTAATAAGGACGAGTTTTATTCGTCGCAACCTTTGAAAACCTGCTGCCATGTTTTTGTGCTTCAGTTCCTCTGGAGATGGGCGTCTTTCTGAGAGAACACCTCAACTACTGGTACAGCCTGAAAGCGTACTACCTGGCCAAAACCATGGCTGATGTCCCCTTCCAGGTAACAAAGACACAGCTTTATCGATCTCTAAGCTGCACTTAGAGTGGCAGCTCCTGGTTCCAGCTCCTGAATCTCTTTCTTTAATGACACATTTGAAGATGAAAGATGATGAAAGATCTTGTTTTATTGTCATTTTTCTGACGGCACAGTTTATCATTTTGTTAGAAACTTTGGGGGCTCACCCTTGATGGATAGTCAGTTAATACAGTAACTTCACCCCGGCCATATTTCTGGTAACTGCTAATGATATTGATAATGTCATTAGAAATGTTCTAAAAAAACCAGCAATGGTCCAGTTCAGGGATGCCTCACCTCAGGCTAGCAGACAGCGAACACCCACAGCTGTCTGTATCACTATCCACTGGTCAGTCTAAGAGGCCACACCCCTAATAATGAAAGCCTTAAACCTTATTAGATTTAAGTAGGGGTGGGTTTAAAAAATAGTTCTTGATTTTAATAATCCCATATCGACTCACGAAATCCTGAATTTGATGTATTTTGCCAGAAATGTCAGAATCTCAGCTACAGCCTCACAAAACCATTTCAACAATAACCAAACATTGAAAACAGCTTGAACAGATTCTGCAAAAGGATGTAAGCCCGACAGCACGCACACGGACATGCTGTACATATCCAAGATAATTGATCAGAATTATAATATTTCTGAGTCAAAATCCAACCTTGTGAATCAGAATTGAATCGTTGTAGAAATCAGTGGCAATACGCACACCTAGATTTAAGAGCTTCAGCTTAACGTTGCACACGGAGACCTGGCAGTATCAACCCGCTGACCTGCAGTGTCGCTGTTGTACAGGTAGTGTTCCCGGTGGTGTACTGCAGTATCGTGTACTGGATGACGGCTCAGCCTCCGGACGCTGGCCGGTTCTTCCTCTTCCTGTCTCTGGGGATTCTGACATCTCTGGTGGCTCAGAGTCTGGGTCTGCTTATCGGAGCCGCCTCCACCTCTCTGCAGGTCCGCTCGCTGTTTCCTCCATCACCTCTTGTCCGCTCACAGGTGTGCTCCTGTGCTGACATCACTCGTGTGTGTTTGCTTCCTGTAGGTGGCCACGTTTGTGGGTCCGGTCACGGCGATCCCGGTTCTGCTGTTCTCCGGGTTCTTCGTCAGCTTCGATACCATCCCCTGGTACCTGCAGTGGATGTCCTACATCTCTTACGTCAGGTGGGGGCGCTGTTAGCTGGCGGGCCTGCGGCTGTATCCACACAGCAGGGGGCGCTGCTGCACTCTCTGAACGTGTTTGTGTGTTTCAGGTACGGGTTTGAAGGCGTCATCCTGTCCATCTACAGCCTGGGTCGTGATGATCTTCACTGCGGTGAAGGTGAGGCGTGTCACTTCCAGAAGTCTGAGGCAATCCTCAAGGAGCTGGACATGCTGGACGCCAAACTCTACCTGGACTTCATTGTCCTCACCATCTTCTTTTTGTCTCTGAGACTCATTGCTTATTTTGTCCTCCGGTACAAAATCAGCTCTGAGAGGTAGAGCGAGGCCGGGAGGAAGAGGAGGAGTCGCAGAGCAAGAGCCCGGAGGCCGAAGAGCAGCTGTCCAGTTTGTCTCCACTTTGACTCGCTCTTAAACAACACATGAAGAAGAGATGGCATGTGAGGACACCGCAGGCCTACAGGGGGAGATCTCATGGTCTCATGGAGGTCCTGTGGGACCAGGAGCTGGTCTTCTGGATCCTGGAGGTTTCACCATGCCACATCCTGACTGATTTCTACTTTTTAGAATAAAAGCCTCTGCAGTTGCAGGATGATGACATCTCTGCCTCTTTAGTTTATTGCTGAGGTCAAAGGTGAGAGCAGCACAGAGGCCCTGATTTCCTGAGTTCTGTCCTTCATGTTTAAGCATCCTGCCTCTGCAGATCCACTGAAGGCAGTGATGCAGGAATGTTTCAGATTTTGCAAATCCTGGAAAACTGTTGGATGAAGTTTTCGGCAGTGCATTTAAAAGTGTTTTTAATCTTCCATCCACCCGACCGACATTCACACACAAAGACACATGATTTCAAACAAAAATCTTCTGGATCCTGGAAGCTTTTCTTTTGAGGCTAAAACAAAACTCAGTGGGCTGCTGGTGAAAACTAACTGGGGATAAAAATGATGAAAAATCAAACTTTTGAGCGGAAAGTGTTTGGGAGTAAATCCACATGATTCAGATATAAAAGTTTTACAATAAATATGAATAAAAATCATTGGCTGGAACCTGTTTAAGCACAAATATTACATCTGTTTACTTTGATAAAATTCACATTAAATAAATTTTAGAAAACTTTCCTGTGAAAAAACAGAAAAACTGATATTTCAATAAAACAATAAAACAATAAAACAATAATTACCCACACCGTGTTCTGAAAGGTAGGATGAACAAAACAATGAAAATATCAAAAGTATTTGTCATGTTGAGATGATGTTTATTCCTGATCATTTCACTGGCTGTGACAGAACTAATTAAACTGAATTATGGGAACATTACACTGTCTGTTTTTAATATTCAGGTTAACTGTGTATGTACCTGCGACAGCAGGCAAACAGCTTTGTCTGAAAAACTCAGCAGATGTTTTTCCTCACATAAAGCAACTGAGCAGCTCGCTTAGCTGCACTGTGTCTCTGCAACCAGCAGGTGGAGCTGTTTACTGGGAAATGACGTTCATCCTACTGGACGTCTGCTCTAATCACTGTGTCACATCTGATTTCACAGCAGAAATTTAAAACACAAAAGTGGAAATGTTCATCTTTGAAACGTGGTTAAATAAAAATCAGATTTAAACTCAGAGAGTGAGAAAAGGAAAATAAAATCAGAGTTTAGATGTGAATCAGAGACGCAGAGCACACAGAGGGATTCAGACACGATTAAACAGGGGCCCTTCCATACGAGCGAGGCGACACCCATGTATCACAAGCCATTTTTGGAATCCGGGGATCAGAATACCAAGACCTCTGCCCCTGACTGCCACCCAATCCACCAAGCACTCAACCTCTAGTGCCTCCTGCGTCCTCCCCACCACCCACAAGAGGACAACACCACAAACGTTGTAATGAGATGTTCTTAATTTGCCAGCTGATAAGTGCTGGCAAACCTAGGCTCAGCTCGTTTGTCCACAACAGCAGCTGCATTTTGAGAGAAGACACACATGTACATCACCTTCACAGTGTCAAGTTCAGTTTTATCATCATTACCACAGCCGAGGAAGGCTTTGCCCGTCTTAATTCAAGACGGGCAAAAACGTTTAAAGCAGAGTTTATAAGACCTGAGCGGTCATTCTGTACTCAGACACATCCTGACCATGACCACAGTCAGGGAGACGCATCCATCAGCCATAATCACAGTCAGGGAGGGGCATCCATCCACCATGACTGTGATGAGGGAGGGGCATCTGTCCACCATGACCAGGATGAGGGAGGGGCATCCGTCCACCATGACCAGGATGAGGGAGGGGTATCTGTCCACCATGACCAGGATGAGGGAGGGGCATCCATCCACCATGACTGTGATGAGGGAGGGGCATCCATCCACCATGACCAGGATGAGGGAGGGGCATCCGTCCACCATGACCAGGATGAGGGAGGGGCATCCATCCACCATGACTGTGATGAGGGGGGGCATCCATCCACCATGACCAGGATGAGGGAGGGGCATCTGTCCACCATGACCAGGATGAGGGAGGGGCATCTGTCCACCATGACCAGGATGAGGGAGGGGCATCTGTCCACCATGACCAGGATGAGGGAGGGGCATTACAAGTAATGAGTAAAATAAGGGATTACTATTACAAAAATTAATCAAATTAAAGTTACTTTCCAGTAAGCACGCTGCGTTACTGCGTTATTAAACCATGATTTTATGTGTGAGAGTGTCTCATGACAATGACATGAGTGCGTGTGACTTTAGTGGTAACAGATGGGTGTACCTCAACAATGGATAATATGGAGAGAGTACAACTGTGCAGCATTTAAAGCTTGTAAGTACTCACACTACTTTGAGTTTGATTCTGTAAAAAGTGAGACAAACATAAGCGTCTGCTGTACACTCTGCATGGGAAGAAAACTTCTAATCTGAGTGAGCAGCGAGCACGCTGCCACGGGAATGCGACATTCACAGAGAAACACTGGTCAGAGTGATGCCTGGGTGGTAGCGTTGTTTACCTCATTGTATTTGTGGAGTACTGCTCTCACTGGATAGAGGGATGAGGTTCTGACCCAGCTCTCAGAACAAACACAGTAGTGGGACCAACATCTTCTCGACTTTTGTGTTGTGCTGAATTCTTCCCTGTAGGAGCCCACAGGTGGGCCACCAGCAAAACCAAGTCCGGGCCTCTGCGATCAGTCTTAGTCTAAGTTGCTCTGTTCAGGTTCCAGTCTCCCCTGGAGGTGTGGGTTTAAATCCCACTTCTGACAGGAAGTGTTTTGTAGCACAGAGGGATTGTGGGAACTTGTCTCTCAGGTCTGGGCTCAGTAAATGCTGGACGTGGCCAGGAAAAGGCCAGCTGCAGCGTTGTGTGCTCCACCAGTGATAAACAGTTTGTCCCTCCAGCTGAAAGCCGGTACAGCACCACAAACACCAGCTCCTCCCCTATAATGCCCGCCTTACATCACATAAACCTGCCTGTTGTGTATATTTATGTGTTGTGTGTCCATGTTGAAAGCTCATAACGATCACACAGTTTCATTGTGTAACTGTAAATTACGATGTAAGAGACGATAGTGACTGCAAACATCTTTGGCTTTGCTCTGAGTGCAGGATAAAGTCTCGCTCTGGATTCACAGTGTTCTGGGATCCCTGGAAAGGATGAGGCTTTTCTTTTGGTGTACTTTTTATCTTTCAGGTGTCAGGCCTCCACCTATTGGCCAGTTCAAAGTTGATTGGCATGTGTCTATTGGCTGGGCTGGGCACAGGTGGCCAATCACTCTCCGAGGATCACTACAAATGAGCAGCTCCCTGGCCAGCTGGTGGCTGCTGGCTTCTGCTTTATGACAAACACATGAACAGGCTTCTTTGTATTGTGTGTGGTGGGAGGCTGGACAGGTAAGCTGGGGTACTGTTCGTCACACTAGGTTATGCGGTTGATGCCACTCTTGTTTTCACTGACCTTTTGTAGTAGCTAGGTAGGCCTTTTGTTTTGCATTTTTTGTTTCAGTTAGGCCCTGGAAGTTTGACTATCGAGGCAAGCAACCAATAAATCCTGCCTGTTGTCTTCCTCCTTCATTGATTGTGGTTGTCCAGTGTTGCTGTCTCCTTCGGACCTTTGCCTCCACCATGGTGGGGGGGACGTAACACCCCCTCTGTTCCTCTCTCTCTCTCTCTCTCTCTCTCTCTCTCTCTCTCTCTCTCTCTCTCTCTCTCTCTCTCTCTCTCTCCCTAACCCTAACTTTAAGAGTAAAGAGAGAAACTGTCTGTATTTCTTAATTGTATTCAAACTGAGCCACACTTATGGAGCTCCACAGTTCTGTTCCTGGTGTTTTGTTGACATCTCTTGATGTTCCCATGTCACAGAAACAGGCTCTGTGTTTTGCCTTATATGCATCCACAGCTGTGCCACCAATTTACTCACATGGACTCTACGAACCAATCAGAAGCTTCTTCAGCTCAGAATGGAATCGTCTGCAGTTTCTTATAATTAGTGTGAATGCTTGAAAAGCATTCACAGTATTGTTATTCGAATCTTTATTGTGTGGATGCTTTAAGCATCCACACTATTGAGTTCCTGTTTCTCTTTATTCTTTATTATTGTGTGGATGCTTTAAGCATCCACACTATTGAGTTCCTGTTTCTCTTTATTCTTTATACTTTATTATTATTATTCCAGTTGCTTCCGTACACTTTTTGGCACTTAACTACTTCCACAATTTTCAGCCGATTTTCACCGTTCAAATTTTAAACTATTCTGCTATTCTTGCTCTTTCTAGCTACGATTTTTGCTATTTTTAACTATTATACTTTTTAAAATATTCCACTTTTTTCCTTTAATTTGTCCCATTGAAATGAATGGGAAACTTCCAAAATTCTGCTAAATTTTGCTTGTTTTTGAAACTTAACTACTTCCTCATACTTTCGCCTAGAACAACCATTCAAACTTTAAAATGTTCACAAATTATTGGGCTATTCATGTATGATTCAGCTTTTTCAAATCTTTTACTGTTTTACTTTTATGCCTCTTAAAGTTTTGAGTTGCAAAATTGTGATTTTTCACAAAATACATGCGTTGTTATGGTTGCTATGCTCTTGGCTTCCAGTGTGTCACTGAAGGTTTTGCAGTCTTCTCTTCATGTCCGAACAACTTTTTGCTACTTGCTCAATTTTCACTCAACTTCCACAAATTATACATCAAAACGTAGGTAATTTTGCTGGCTTTCAGGAAATGTCACCATCATTGTTGTGGGATTTATAGAATTTTCGCAAATCTCCTCAGACCAACACAATGTCAGAAAACTCTCCATATAAAGTCAATGGAGAGCTTGTTCAAAATCACCGCTGGATTTCTGTAATGAGAGGCATATTCGAATCGTCATATCCCCTTAACGAAGCAAAGTTAAGACATGAGGCTTGTCCCCGAATATCTTCAGACACCCCTGACGCTCACAATTCAAGAATTTCTTTCTCACCTATTACCGTTCTGAAATGAGTTGGACTTGTTTGAGGGTAGGAAATTTGTCCTTCGCTCAGATTTCTTCAGATTTCAAACTGTGGAAATGAACCACTTTTTTCTCTCGTCATAACTTTTTGTTGGATTTCCATAGAGACCTGAAAATTTCTATGACTGTTCACCAAAGCCTGCTGTCTCTTACGGTGAAAGAATGATATCGATACTCCAAATAGATTTAGAGTTAGAAAGCGTTGTTTGAGGGCAAGTCAAGGCAGTTTTTGCTTCGCTCTGCTCAGTTATGGTGCATTAGAAGTCTAATATCTTTAATAATTCATATTTTAATGATAAATTGTTAACACTGGAAGATTCCCCCACCTCTTCTGAACAAAACGGTGTAAGAATGACCGCTCTAGCCCCTACGGTTAGGAAATTAT